GGTGTGAGGAAAAGAGAAGAGGATTAGAAGGGATATATAAGATGAAGGAGATTAATTTTTTTATAATATATATATTTTTTTTAAGTGAGTAAATTAATGCCATTGATGATTATGATGATGAGAGAATATAGGGAGAAAAAAAATTAAATTAGCATATGTTGCAACAAATATTTTTCTGTGTGAGATTGAGAGAGACAGCAGAGAAGTGCGCATATCTTTACATAAAGAGGCTTTATGTTTGTATGCATGTCCCCGTAAGAGAATAGAATATAAGGACTTATATATAGGTCCTCTTTGGAATTTTTTTTGGATATTATTTGTTGTGGTTTTATTGATTTTGTTTTTATTTCATTTAATATCTGCATGGAATGGTGTCAAACACGTTTATCAGCTATAATATTCAGTTGTTTTCATGATAGATTTGTCTGATATATATTTCAATGGGAAATGCTAAGGTCTCAACCATTCTGTTGGAATTTGTAATCATCAGATCAACATATAACCGTCAAAGATAGTTGATCTAACGGTTACAAACCCCGACGGAATGATTCTGTAACGGTACTGTAAATCTTCCTCCTGCTTCAATAGTTGGTACATGTATGGATGTATGTAATTTTGTTATTACTAGGTCTTTGGCTTTAGTAAGCTATACTTTTTCAATTACTCTCTTGTTAAGTATTATATGCTTTTAACTCCTTTTTGTGCTATTGTTTCTTTCTTTTCCTTTTGATTAATGCTTTTCTGGTTTATGTCAATTTGATAAGGAAGTAGGAATTATCCGCCAAGTCACAAAAAAAATAAATAGATAAATAAATAAATAAATATTCTGGTATGGTCCATTTAATTATATTCTTTATACTACTTTTACATTTCTGATAAAGTTTATTTGTTCTGCACGTCTATTTAGCTGCTCTCACCTACTATTGTAATACAGTAACAACGCCTATGTTTGATAAAACTAGTTGATAAGCTAGCTGATAGCTAATAAGTTAGCTTATAGTTTATTAGTAATTTTCGAGCTTATAGCTTATAACTTATGACTTATACCTGAAAAGCTAACTTATATGATAAAAGTGTTTGGTAAAATGAGCTGATAAGCTAGCTGAAATAAAAATTTCAACGAGCTTATTTGAAAAGCAACTAAAAGAAGCTTATTAAATAAGCTCGAGCTTTTTAAATAAGTTTATCCTACCAAACATAGTTTATTTAAATACAGGGAGCTTATAAGCTAATCAAATAAGCTATAAGCTAGCTTATTGGTCTACCAAACATAGTAGTGCTACTGCTTAATTAAGAATTTTATGCTTAATTAAAAACTAGTACGAATCTTATAAATTAAAAATTCTTATTAAATAATATTATAAATTAAAAACATGGAATCAATATGTAATACAACGTACTTATATTAATTTATTGAAAATATTATATATAATTTAAGTTGTGCAAAATTACATAAAAATGTCATCTATTTAAAATTAGTGCACAACCCGCGCGTTGCACATAACTGATAATAAGTTACATTATATTCGTTTCAAAATATGTGTCATCTCAAAATTTTTATTCAGAAATTCAATTTGACTATAGCGTGATTCCATAAAATTTGGTAAAATTTTATCATATATTTAAAAACTTATTTGAATAATAAGTATAGAGATAAATTTATATTGTTTCTTTAAATATTATGAATTTATATTTGTATAAAATATCCAAATCAAAGTATAAGTAGTTGACTATGGTTTTTTATGCCAAAAAAAATGACACTCCTTATCATGCTAATAAAAAAGAACATTGCATTTCATACAACAATTATCTGATGTTGTAACAAAAAATGAATTAAATCGAGACCTACTAATTATAAAAATTAAAAAAAAAAAAATTGACCAGAACTATTTCTATAAAAAAAAGAACATCGATACACGATCATTATATCAAAATATCTATTCATATTATTTTGTAGGAATTACGGTAATTGTCTAAAAACTAATACTGGCCTTACAAAAAAAACAAAAAAAAAAAATACACCGTATATTGATTATTTTTTAACAAATTTCCTACCAAAAAACATTATCAAATAACTTGAATAAATTTGCTCACTTTATACTATATATTGATTAATTTATAGAAATAACCATCAATACTAAAAATAAATTCATCCACTCTATACTATATATTAATTAATTCAATGATTTAAGTAATTAAGGTATCTTAAAATATTGCTCAATTATTTATTTAAATAATGAATCGCAATTTTCATAAGTGATCATTTGATATATACCATAAATTATCAAATTAATTTCCCAAAATAGTAAATAGATTTTTTCAGAGGGAAATAGTTACAATTTAAAAAATAATCAAACCTTTATATATATATATATATAAATAAATAAAAATTTTATTTAAATTTTCAAATAGTTTAATTTTTTATGTTTTTATTTAAAATGACACTAATATTTTGTTGGAAAATTTATTGCATAAATTTGTACATAAAGTTTATTTTGTTGAAACCGTGTCTTTCACTTAAAAAGTGTAACTTGTTTTCATGTTACAAACATAACTACATAAGTCCATTAAGTTTTGAATTAATGGAATTAATTGACTAGTGTGGCTTATCTTAGCCTATATAAAGGACTCGTCTTCCTTTGAACAGATCACTAACGAAAAGAAGAAAACAAACTATTAAAGTCAATTTCTCCATTTGTCTATTATAGTGTTTTCGTCCAAGCATAATTTCAGTTCGTCAAATTTGTTTCTGTTTTTCCGTTGTATCTTGCGAAACAGACGCTCATACGGGGCGAATCTATTTTAAGGACATTATGTTCTCACATGTTTCGTTATTTATTATATAGTCATCTTATTTTTTATTTTCCCAATAAAGTTCCCTACATGTTTTCCCGTACGATTTTATAATATTTTATCTAATTCGTCATAAAATAGACTTGATGAATAAACTTTATTAATAACTAATATTTTTATTATTATTCTTAGAATTATATAATTTAATTTTTATTTATGAAGGTAGATGTAACTTTTTTTAATAATATAAGCAATATGAATTTCAAATGGAAGATAGTCAAATGATGAACAGTTTAATATATCATATATAAAAAAATCGATAACAAAGAAAAGTGATTATTACATTTTAAACTATATTTATAATTTAAATTGAGCAAGTTCGAACCATATGTATGCGCATGTCATTAAAAGGAAAGGAAAACCACATAAATATCTTCTTGATGAACGCTTTAGATCAACAATTAATTAGAAGTTAAGGGGTGTGTTGAACGGGATTTTTTTATGTTCAATTAAGGTGGATATGTACAATTGTTATAGGAAGAATTAGACATAAAGAAAACACAGAATAATGTGAGAATCGATGATGTAATTGTGGTCTAGGTCGGCCGATTATATTATAGGTCGGACTGATATGTCCCTGAGTATTATGACGAGAGTCTGTATCTCATGTGGCTAAGTTATTTTTGTAATCCTTTTTTTCGGACCTATTACAAAAGTATTTATAGTAACTACAACGTGAAAACTATTGATTGAGTCGTACAATATGCATTTAGTTGATTGGACAGGTGTATTTAATGCCTCGTGCACTACCCTATGTGAAAGATTTCTTGGATCAAATACATTAATAATGTCATTAACAAAGAGAATGATACATCAATCATTTGCACTGAATACAAGGATCGATTTTCTTAGCTCTTGAAAAGTACATTGCGGCTGCCACATTTTACATATTTATATTCATAGCTAAGAGAGAATATTCTAGACCTCATGACCTAGCTACATTAAATATCAACCACATATCATAGGATAAGATGGAGCTAGCTTGTTTGTCTTCTTGTGTGAGTCATCATAGCTGTTTGGGATGCAGCTCTCATTTCCTTTTGTACTGTGATGCTTAATATCAAGAAGGGCATGAGAGTCTTTTACTTTGCAAGTGATGGTCCCTACCTTAAACTCTGACGTGGCTGCATGGATGGCAGGTGACGTTGCATGGCAGTTTGAGGTAGTAAGGTTGACAGCCCCCCTCAATTCGTGCTCGGGTTTGAGGCAAATTCCTAATTTGGATCGAAGACGAGTAAAGAATTGGCCAGACAAGGGCTTTGTAAAAATGTCAGCCACTTGTTCAATGGAAGGAATATGGTGAACTGTTATGGTGTGAGGTTTGACATGTTCTCTAACAAAATGAAAATCAATTCCTGCATGTTTGGTTTTTGAGTGAAAAACAGGGTTTTCTGACAAGTGGCAAGCTCCTAAATTGTCCACCCAGATTGTGGTAGGCCTCTGCAGTGAAAAACCAAGCTCAGACAATAAACCCCTAAGCCAAATAACATCACAGGTGACTGTGGCTAAGCTTCTGAACTCAGCTTCAGTACTTGATCTAGATACTGTTTTTTGTTTCTTACCACTCCATGTTATGAGATTAGGGCCAAGGAAAACACAGTTACCACTTGTAGATTTGCGGTCATCAAGATCAGATGCCCAATCTGCATCAGCAAAGCCAACAAGATGGAGGGAACGACTTTTGAACTGCAGCCCATAATTAAGTGTACCAGCAAGGTACCTCAAAATTCTCTTTAAGGCTTTCCAATGAGCATGTGAAGGAGCTTGCATGTATTGGCTAATTTTGTTGACACTGTAAGAGATCTCTGGTCTGCTAATGGTTGTGTATTGGAGAGCCCCCACAACACTTCTGAATAAGATGACATCCTCAAATGGCTGTCCATCATGTTTGGAAAAGAATGGATGAGATATCATGGGGGAATTCACTCCCTTGGCTTCTGTCATTTGTAGACTTGATAGGATGTCAGTAATGTACTGGCTTTGGCTCAAGACAAGTCCTTGATCATTGTAAGAGACTTCAATGCCCAAAAAGTGTGTCAACTGACCTAAATCCTTGAGGGAAAAGAATTTCTGAAATTCTGAAATGGTGTGTTGGATATCTGCTTC